GCTGGCTCAGGTAACTCTCAGTGGTCTCAACCACCAAAAAAACCGAAGGAAAGATACTAAGAATCATCCAGTTTAGATCCACCCTGGAAACAGCGAAGGTCCAGCCCGCAGTGCCTCTGTCAGCAAAAACTGGGGTGGCTCCGCTCGGGGGGGGGGTTCTGTTTACACTGACAGAGGGCTGCAGGAGGCTGTTGCAGCTGAAAATGGAGCTCGCAAAGACCACATGTGCCCCCAAGCTCCATTTTCACTGGCAGAGGGCTGCAAGAGGCCATCGCAGCCGAAAATGGAGCTTAGGAGCCTGTTTTTGCTGACAGAGCGCTCGGGCCACAGGTGCCCCTACCCAAGTGACGTCAAGCTGGCCACAACTACCCTGGCCATGCCCACCCTGGCCCCCCAATGTCAAACACAATCCTGATGCGGTCCTCAATGAAATCAAGTTTGACACCCCTGTTATAGATCATCATTCATTTGAGTAAAAGACTACATGCCTATATTTTATTGTATTTAAGCATGTGGAGACGGGGAAAACCTGGTTCAAGTAACTATGAAAGCTCATAAAGTGACTTTGGGACAGTCTTTGTCTCTCAGCACAACATACTCAGCACAACCAGCACTACTGGGTTGCTGTTGCCAAGAAAAAGTGAAAGAAAAAGAATTATGTATACATTCTTGGGCTTCTAGAGGAAACAAAAATATATATTGAACAAATTAAAAAATAAACATCCTGCAGTGCTTATATTAAACTTAGATTTTACTTTTAAGTCTGTTATGTTATAATGGGCAGATATATTCCATTAGAATAATAAAGGGAAAAAATCCTCCCATTTTAGAACTAAACCTCAACTTATTTTAACATCACTTTTTATTCAGTATTACATGGAAAAGTAGATATGTAATCTATGAGAAACACATCAACATCCAAAATCAGAATTGAGGCAATATTTTCGTTGGCTAATTCAATGTTTAGAAAATAGTATTGTTTCTAAGGATTTTTCACCAGTCAAGATTTGATGGAGTAGGAGGGGACAGAAAAAAATGATGAAGGTTTTTTTTGTGGTCTTTGGACATGTTTATTATTATTTTTTATTTATTGGACATGTTTACTGAAAGTTTGGTTTAGCGGTTAAGGCACTAGGCTAGAAACTAGGAGACCGTGAATTCTAGACTCACCTTAGGCAAGAGAGCCACTTGGGTAAGTTTGGACCAGACACACTCTGTCAGCCCAACTTACCTTATAGGGTAGTTGTTAGGGGGAAAATAGGAGGAAGAAGAAGTATCAGGTATATTCAATCACTTGAATTTATAAACATAATAAATAAATACCCCCTTTCCCCGAAAATAAGAGCCAACCAGAAAATAAGTCCTACCACGATTTTTCAGGATGCTTGTAATATAGGCGCTACCCCCAAAATAAGCCTGAGTTAAGATTGTCAGTGAGATGGGTGCATTTAGTACCGTATTTCCCCCAAAATAAGATCTAACCAGAAAATAAGCCCTAATGCGTCTTTTGGAGCATAAATTAATATAAGATTATTTTCAGGGAAACGGTACATAAATAAAAGTTGATTCATCTTTTGATATGCAATAGTGTTGTTAACATGTCACATTAACAGCCCTCCCACACTGCCAGGTTAGAATAAATAAATAACAGTTGATCCTCCATTTCTGCACATACACAGTCTAGTTGCTAAACAATCAAAAGTTTCCTTCATCCTTGGAAGAAAGAGTCATCCAGGGAATTGAAAAACAAATAAAGAACAACTGGAACAGCCTTCTTTAAGTTCTCAGGATTTTTACCCTAAAAATTTCCCAGCCAATGTAGCAACAATTGAAAATTCTGGAAATTAGCTCAAATCCTAAAGATGGTTCAGGTTGGGGAAGACTAATATAGACTCAGTCTTTAGACTAATAACGCCAGAGGTAATATTAAATTGTTATATTAATACAAAACAATGTTTAAAAAAACCAGTCAGTTACCTAAGTTGCCTAACAACTTTATCAATTATCTAGTCATCAGTAGGTACATGAATCTATTTTATCTAAAGAAGGATGCTATGAAATCCAAAACATATTACAGGTGATTCTCATTTAACAATTGCTTGTTCAGCAATCATTCACGTTTACAAAAGAACTGAGTAAGTGGTAGCTATGACCGATCCTCAAAAGTTCTGGTCTTCCCAGCGCCCCCTTGGTCATGTGATTGTGATTTGGCACTCAGCAACCATTTCAGATTTCCAGCCACTGCAGTGTCTCGCAGTCACATGACTCTGATTTGCAACATTCCCTGCCAGCTTCCCACAAACAAAGTCAATGGGGAAGCCAGCGGGAAGTCAGAAATCGTGATCGCTTGAAGAGCCTCCCTTAATGAGCCGCACAGTCTTTGCTTAACAATGGTAACTGGGGACCGCTGGAATTGCTGTTGCTAAGTGGCATGTACATGTAACATCATGCTTTATCAACTTAGCATCAGAAATTCCAGTCCTGTCATTATACGAGGGCTACTTGTTTCATAAAAGTTTAGTTGCTTAATAAATATATTACTTTAATGGATTTATGAATTTAGATATTTTATTCAACTAACAGAGGCATTTAAATATATATATTTGAGATTATTAGCACAACAATAATAAGCAATACTTTCAATATTTTCTCGGTTAAGGTAGCCATATTTGAAAAACTCTCAACCTCAACAGCTGAGGTTGAAGGATTCCTTTGCACACACGTGTGCAAGGAGACCCCCCCTGCACAAGCTCGCTCCAAGCTGTGATGAGTGTAAGGTGGCTAGTTTGATCCTGGTTTGCTTTAACCTCATGCCTCTTGGAGGTTGGGGAGGGGATATTGAGGGAGATGTGGGGGGAGGGGGCTTCCCTAATGCTTCTTGGGAAATTAGGGGAGGGTCTTTCCAGGAGAGGGTCTTCTGTGGGGGAAAAATCAGCTTGGATGGGCTCCAAGATTGGGGGAACAACCCGAATCTGGGGGTACAAATATCGCTGATGCTCATTCCCCTCTTGCCTCAGTGCCTTGTGTATAATAATTAAAATAAAGACATCTTTGGAATAAAACAAAAACCCTCTAAAAGAAACTTTGTTGTTAAAGTCATATCCTTAAGGCTTTTTGCTTAACGACTGTAAATTATCCATGAACAGTTTGTACACACATATTTAACATGACTCATGGGTGCAGGGTGTGGGACAATTATTTTTAACTTTACACCACTTTGTAAAATTATTGTTCCTGTTATTTTTTAATAATACTCTAATCACACAATGCCCACACAGAATCCAAAGATTATCTTCCTGTCACATCTAAACCAAACGTCTTGTTTTTCATTCAAGGGCTTCCAGCTTCTTACCCACCCCCTTGCTGTCCTGTGTGAATGCAGATTTCTCACACAATCTGTATATTTTCTAAGAATTCTATAGCACAGCCCTGTGGTTATTCTATTCCTACTGGAATTAAATCTAAATAAGGATATCCTAAACAACCCTACTATGCACTTCATTCTAACTTCTTTTCCCTGTTTTCCACCTTGCTGAACACCTAAAATAACTTTACTTTAAGAATGGAATGGAATGGAATGGAATGGAATGGAATGGAATGGAATGGAATAGAATAGAATAGAATAGAATAGAATAGAATAGAATAGAATAGAGAATAGAATAGAATAGAATAGAATAGAATAGAGGAAAGGAGAGAGAATGGGAATATAGAATAGAACAGAACAGAACAAAAGAGAACAGAACAGAACAGAGGAAAAGAGAGAGAATGGGAATATAGTAGAAACAGAACAGAAGAGAATAGAGGAAAGGAGAGAGAATGGGAAAAATAGAATAGAATAGAATAGAATAGAATAGAATAGAATAGAATAGAATAGAATAGAATAGAATAGAATAGAATAGAATAGAATAGAATAGAATAGAATAGAATAGAATAGAGGAAAGGAGAGAGAATGGGAATAGAGAACAGAATAGAAGAATAGAATAGAATAGAATAGAATAGAATAGAATAGAATAGAATAGAATAGAATAGAATAGAATAGAATAGAATAGAATAGAATAGAATAGAATTCTTTATTGACCAAGTATGATTGGATACACAAGAAATTTGTCTCCAGTACATACAAGCAACAAGTGAAAACTCATCATCATAATCATAAAATACAATCAACATAAATCATAAGATTATGCTCTCTGGTAGTTCTGCTGTTTTTTATTATTGACTTTTAATGCAAGTCACATTATATACTTTTTCTCCAAGCAAAATTTATTATCAACCAGGATGGATTTGATTTAAATCGAGTTGATTTAAATCACAATTTAAATCATGATTTAAATCACTAGTAAAAAGGCTTGATTTAAATCAACTCGATTTAAATCATAATTTTTAAAGAGCAACTGTCATCTCTGCTACTCCTTTGACCCACTGTTGACTCACCGATAGTCCCAGTGTTGCAGAATATACAGCCTCCTGCTACATAACTAAGCTCCATTTCATGCTGAATAAACTAAATTATTTATGTATCTTAAATAGAAAACTATCTTACGATAGATTTTTACCCCAAAAGTTTTTTATTAAAATAAATTTGATAAAAATCAAAAAAATCTGATTTAAATCAAAAAAATCCGATTTAAATTAAAAAAAATCTGATTTTTTTGATTTTTTTAAAAAAATCATTGATTTTTATCTACCCTGTTATCAACAACTTTAATGGTAATTGAATAACCTACTGCTCCCAGAAATCCAATTTGCATTAGATCAGGCGGGCTGGCTGGAAGGCATCGGTTGAAGAAGACTAAAACTAAGACAACATGATAATTACTTTTCAGCCCAGAAACCTTATTTGTCTTTTCAGCTCCAAAAGAAATGTGGATTTTGACCTCTAGGTATCAGTTAAGCCAACGAAAGGGCCTACATCTCATGGGATGAAAAGAGGAGTAAGTCTATATATTTATACATAGCTTTCATGCTTATGTATACTGCATGATAATAGCATTACTTACCAAATTGGCCATGTAAATTGTAAGCAACCCCCTCCTATAAACCAAAACAAAAAAAAAAGACAGAGTAATTATTAGGGCATTCAAAACTCATAGTATTATCATATCAAACACAATGCGTTCATGAATTCCATCATATTTAAAAGAAAATTCTGTTAGTCGTCAATGCAATGGAAAGGCCATCCTGTTCCTTCATGTTCTGCCCCAGCTATGGACCCCAAAGAACGCAGCACACACAACATCCGTTCAAACCTTAGTTTACTAAATAAACCAGTTTTTTTTTCACAACAACAGCTGTTAATTAACTGCATTAACAGCTGCCAAGAATTCAAAGAATAATACTGAAAGCTTACTGTGGTTGGCAGAATGCCCAAAAGCAATTTGCAGGAAGCTGATAAGATAAGCAAGACAAGACACAACGGTATGTGAACGAAGTTGTTCCCTGCAAATTGCTTCAGTCGGCATTCCTCCTTAAATAGGCTAAGGGAGTGGCCAATTAGCCCCAAGCCTTACTCTCGAGGAGACCTCTTCCTGAGGAGCCACTCCTGCCTTTTGGTAGCTCTGCGCGCCCATGCATCGAGAAGAGGCTCCTCCTCTTCGTCCTCTTCACTTAAGGGAGCTTCTGGAGGTTCCAAAGGCCCTGGCTGAATCCCTGCCTCTGGCACCACATCTTCTCCAGCCTCCTCATTGTCCGACTCGAGTGCCAGCTGCACAGGCTGCTGGCGCAGCACCACACCCGCCTCCTCGCTGTCTGAATCAGCTACTAGCTGCACAGACCACTGACGGGCCACAACACTTCAGTGGTATTACTATATACCACGTGTGTCAAACACGCCGCATCACATTGATGCCACATGACGTGTCGCGGTGGTTCTTTTGCCTTCGCGGAGCTGGGGTGAGTGTGGCCTGCATATGACACATCCTGCCTGCGGGCCGCCAGTTTGACACCTCTGCTATATACAATAAACCTGCTGGTTGATGTGATCAAACTTGCTGTTGTTATTGTTAATTCTTTCTTAAAGAATGCTCGGTAAACACCTAATCCTAATCTAAGCCTAAAAATTTGTGGTGGAATGTAGTCTGGAGTCACAGGAGGGAAGGGCTCTTCCCCAATGGCCAAAGAGACAGAGAGTTGGAATGTCTGGTGGGCAGAAGAGGGCAAGGACGGATCCTCCCTAGCGATTCACAGAGTGTAGCTATAATTATGCAAATAATTATTTTAGTCTGGCAAGATTCTGTCTGTAGGTGAATAACAGTAAAAAAAACTTCTTGCCTCCTTCTTGCCTCAGATTAACAATTAACAGAGTTGGAAGGGACCCTATAGTTTAGTTTAGTTTAGTTTATTTGATTTGTATACCGCCCTACTCCCAAAGGACTCAGGGCGGTGAACAGCCAAACAATAAAATACATAGATACAAAAAATTTAAAAACCAGATAAAATCAAATTAAATCATTTTAGCCCAGACAGATTAAAACACCCCAATAATTTAAAAACAGATTAAAATTTACATATTAAAAAGAGGGAAAAGATTAGGCCAAGCCCGCCTGGTGGAATAAAAAGGTCTTCACAGCGCGGCGGAAGCTGTGCAGATCCGGGATCCTCCGTATCTCCTCCGTATCTCCTAGGTCATCTAGTACAACCCCCCACTCAAGCAGGAGACCCCACACCATTTCTGACAAATGGCAGTCCAATCTTTTCTTGAAAGTCTCTGGTGATGAAACTCCCACAACTTCCGAAGGCAACTTCTGTTCCATGGGTTGATTGTTCTCACTGTCAGAAAGTTCCTCCTCATTTCTAGATTGAATCTCTTCTTGGTCAGTTTCCATCCATTATTCCTTGTCTGGCCTTCAGGTGTTTTGGAGAATAGCTTGACCCCTTCCTCTCTGTGACAGCCCCTCAAATATTGGAACACTGCTATCATGTCTCCCCTGGTCCTTCTCTTCACTAGGGTAGCCATGCCCACTTCTTGCCTCCACCAGTGGGTGCGCCATCACTAGAGGTTTTCAAGAAGAGATAGGGCAACCATTTGTCTGTTTTCACATACAGAATGCCCTTAGTTTAATCTGGATAGGGCTAGGAAAATTTCTTTTGGAAATCTGAAAAGCTGCTGCCAACTTGTGTAGAAAAAACAGGCATGTATAGAACCAGTAATCATCATTTAATGTAAGGCAGCTTCTTTTGTTCCTAGCTCACAATTTTTATCTTGATACAGTTGCAAAGTTGTCCAATTTATTAAAGTGTATTACTATATATATATATATATATATATATATATATATATATATATATATATTTAATTTATATAATATATATATTGAGTAAAATATCATTTAATCTTGATCAAGCTTAAATGGTTAACTGTTCCGAACAAATATATATATAAGGGACGCGGTGGCTCAGTGGCTAAGACACTGAGCTTCTCGATTGAAAAGTTAGCAGTTCAGCGGTTCGAATCCCTAGTGCCACATAACGGTGTGAGCTCCCGTTACTTGCCCCAGCTTCTGCCAACCTAGCAGTTCGAAAGCAGGTAAAAAAATGCAAGTAGAAAAATAAGGACCACCTTTGGTGGGAAGGTAACAGCGTTCCGTGCACCTTTGGCGCTTAGTCATGCCGGCCACATTACCATGGAGACGCTTTCAGACAGCGCTGGCTCTTCGGCTTTGAAACGGAGATGAGCACCGCCCCCTAGAGTCGGGACCAACTAGCACATATGTGTGAGGGGAACCTTTACCTTTTATTACCAAATATATCCAATACGTTCTTAAAACAGATGCATTCCCACAAAACATGACTCATGTATTGTAGAATACAATAATAGCAGTATCACTTAGACTTAGTGCTTTATGGCCCTCCCTAAACAGTTGACAGAGTTAGCATATTGCCCCCAACAATGTGGGTCCTCATTTTATCGACCTCGGAAGGATGGAAGACTGAGTCAACCTTGAGTCGGTGAAAATCAAACTGCTGGCAATTGGTAGAATTTGCTTGCAATACTGCATTGTAACCACTGTGCCACCACGGCTCCTTTACAGTAATGCAATACTGTAAACCTTTACAGTTGATCAAAGAAAAGGGGTAAATATATTGTGCCAGCAAATAAGGTAAAGGCAAAGGTTTCCCTGCCCAAATTGTGTCCAACTAGGGCAAGGTGCTCATCTCCACTTCTTGTCCAAGGGAGCCAGCTTTGTCGAAGACATTTCCGTGGTTATGTGGCCAGCATGGAATCCTGTTACCTTCCCACTGGTGGTACCTATTTATCTACTTGCATTTGCATGCTTTCGAACTGGTAGATGGGCAGGAGCTGGGGCAAGGAACGGGAGCTTACCCCGTTGTGCGTCGCTTGGGTCTTGAACCCAGGCTGTCGGCTTTCCAGCTGACAAGTTCAGCGTCTTTAACCGCTGAGCCATCACGCTCCCACCAAGAAGTAAGCACCTACAAATCCTGTACTACAGTTTTGCTCCTTTTGATTCTGTGAATGTTCATGTCACTGTGTATTGTACTTCTGCAGAAAGCCGTTCCATGTATTTCTGCTAAAGAAAAACACTGTTCAAAATGCACCTATTACAAGGACAAATCTTTGTATACATTGGCTCCAACAGGAGGCAGCTTATATGGCTATTTTTTTTTAACATGAACTTTAATTGCATAAAACTGTTTGCAGCAGGGCTCCTTCAGAAGATAGAATCTAATCTATAAACACAGCCGTTTAAAAAGTTAAATATAGAAGTTAACCTGTGCAACTAAATCAAACGCAAAAAAAATTATGGCGACCTCAAACCCATAATCAAATCAAGAAATCGGCCGATTTATCCTCTGGACAGCTGCCTAAGTGATTGGCCCACAATTCCATATCTGGAACTACGATGGGGTTGGTGGGAAGTCTGAAATAACAAAGCATTACAGTTGATGTTTAGATTACGCTTAATCACTCACACCCAACTATTTCCTTCTTTCAACTGAAGTCTGACAGAGAGACCCCGGTGCAAAAGTTCACATAAAACCAACAAGAACAGCTAAGCTTCAAAATAAGAGGACTAAAAATGCAGACAGGGATAGAGAAATTTCAGTCTAAACAGAACCCTTGTAGTAAGGCTGTAGTGAAAGAACTTGTAGTGAAAACAAATACATGTATCACAAGATATGGTTTACAGATTCCCCATCAGTAAATCCAAGAAACAATTTCAAACAGCTAGAGCAACTTTGCCCAATGTTGGCTCCACATTTATAAGTAGAATACCACAAAAGACTTATTTAAGGTAGCTATTCGTCTTAGCAATGAAGCAAAATAAGGACTCCCTGAAATACTCCCTGAAAAGGGTTGTAGAGTTTATCAAAACATGAAGTAAGGACAAAAATGCGCTGAAGTATTGCATTTGAAAATGTTAGGAAAAACTCGACAATGCTGCATTGTTACATATACATATGATTACATCTATTACAGCCCTATTAGCATTGTACATAAATTTTCATTTACAGATGAACTTGACCTACCTGACATTGTTAGTGTGCCCATTATTTTGCGCAAACCAAACTTTGCTGTGAATAACATTTACAGAACATTTAAAGGATTACTGCCTAATTGATAGATGTATATCTGGTGAATGAGGCCACTGTACGAGGGCAAATTATGCATTGTAAAAGATCATTTGAAGGTGGGAGATACTTCCAATGTAATCCACCAGATCCCCTGCATGGATTGCCCCTGTGACTATGTAGGAGAAACAGCGACGAAGCTAACCACCAAGAACACAACCCAGTGATCAGACGAGGAGACCCAAAGTCATTGGTAGCCTCACACTGCAATGAACAGGGACACACATTTAATTTCGCAGCTACTAAGATTGTCGGCCAAGCAGGTACAAAGATAGCCAGGGAAATGTTCGAAGCCTGGGAAATGGGCTCCTGGTCAAACAACAGGAGTGCTGAATTACCACCAGCCTATCAAATACTTAGGAGCCGAGGGCTTGGCAGCCTAAGGAAACGACAGCCAATCAACAGCCATCATCACACCAATCAGCCAATAGGAAGGCAGCCCA